GTTTTAAGCATATGAATTCATTTTACAGTTTTAAACTATTAACACAATGTGATGTTACAAAAAATTAAGTTAAGAATGGCACTATAAATAATGTAAGCCCCCTTAATTTATAAGGTAACCCTTACTACCCTTTAAGGCATGAACAACATTGGGCTTTTGAGAGGTAAGGAAAAGTGGAAGGTATTCCTCATGTCTAATTCCTTCAAAACCAGGTCCATTTTAACGCAATTTCACAAGAAAGGTTGTGCTTTTCCAAACCAGAAATTGTTACAAAATTATGCTTCTGAGAAGATTTTTTATGTTCTGTCCTCTCTTTATTATGACTCCAATGTTTTTAGTCAAACTAAATCTGGAGGAACCTCTTAAAAAACCCAAAACACTATTCTGGTAAATTTATCCTATATGTTCAGTCTGAAAACTGCAAACCAAAATATTTCTCTATCATTTACTTTTTATTTGTTTTTCACCTTCAATTTTTACAGCTGAAAATGTAGAAAAATGACTAGGAAGCGCCTATAATCCCTAGCCATAAAAAAAAATATGTCTCATTAAATACTGTTGGATGCTGGAGAATATAGCAACAGCCAGGAATCAGAATAGCTTTGAATTCAGTGATACTACAGAGAAAATCCCTCACTGGTGAATTTGGCTGAAATAATTTCAGAAATTGAGGTAGTTCACAATATTCAAGAAGATCACTATAAACAATAATTGAAATGTATCTTATTTGTTAATTGAAGCAAAGTGGGAAATTTCTATATAAAGCTTCTCAGTGAATTTCTACTGTCTTTAAAAGTCCTTATATTTGCACAATAAGGTAGTTTGGCATTGCAATGTAGTCTGCTTCAATGGAACTTCCCATAGAAAATCTCCTTGTCTTTTGTTTACTGAATGACATATTCCACTGAAAACTAAATACATTTTGAAATAGAAAAAGGGAAATGCTGCTAGTAAAGTCACTCTAGCATTCATCAGAAACATTATTATATTTTTATCAGTAGTAGGAAAATACTGTGAAGACCATTATTTTTTTATAATGCAGACTGCATTGCATTATATTTCTCAATATTTATTATACAGCATTACAATATATTTTCTCCTTATCAAATCAAAATTTTGCACACAAGCAGTGCAACTTGAAAGATGAATTTCATTCAACTATAGATTTGCTGTGTATCTGATTAATCCTCTCCTTATAATTAAGTTGTCATAGCAATGCATTTTTAGTAGTACTGATTCATATGCCAGTAATGTTCTGGAGACAGTGCTCTTGGTAATTTTTTAGCACTCAGTTATGCTAAATTATAAAGTTATCAAATACAAAAGTACTGGTCAACTTGCTCAAGCAGAAGAACATGTGATCAGACTTAAAACTTAAAACAGGCCAAAGTATCATGTGGCATACATTGCAGAAAGCAACACAAAATTTTGGGTGGCTCAGCTCAAGAAAGTAAAGGCAGATCCTACATCTGTTTCATTTTCAATATAAATGCTTAATGATTAAAAGAAAATACTCAATTCTTTAAAAAAACAAGGTGATTACACCCTACTAGGAAGAAAGAAAATGTAGTGGTTTTTTTTTCTAAAGGTGTTACTTTCATATATTGGTACTTCTGTGGTATACCAGGCAGCTGTGCAGAAAAAGTATTGATAATGGGAAATCACTTTACTTTTTTGCATGTCTTTCCCTCTGTATTTTTGCCAGATACATTACATTACAAACATTTATAAGCTTTCAAAACAACAGAAAATCGTCCTTCAAGGACTAGGACTATATATCTTGGCTGCTTCCAAGGTAATTACAGCAAGTTGGACTCAATGACCCTTCCATAGAGTGGAAGGATGTGGGTCCTTTCCAACTCAGCTTATTCTGTAACTCTGTGATTCTGTGAAGTATCAGCATGCACAAGTCTGTGAAAGCAAAAAAAAAATTGGCCTGATATTTAATTCATTTTTTAAAATTCAGAATGTGAAGGATTATGTGCATTATTTTCTAGCATGAGGTAAAATGTGAGTCAAAGTGACATGAAGAAAAAATGGTGTTAGCTTATTTCTGTGGCAGAGAAAGAAAAAGAAAAGAGAAAAAAACCTCAGGGATTATTTTCCTCACGACTCTCTAGAGAGAACAAGGTTTAAATTCTGCAGACTTTTTTGAGAAGATCATTGCACAGCACACATCCTCTAAAAGCTCCTTCAAAGGACTGATCAAGGGGAAAGTACATTGTGAATGCAATAACTGATCTAACTAATATAACTTAATGAAGATGTGTATTGATTTGGTTATGAGGAACTCTTAGCCTCCAAATGTATAAATGCAAAATGGTAATTGTTCACTCTGAAGTTTCTGACCTTCCCTGAATGATGTGAGAAACCTGACTGCTTAACTCAGACTAGAATCTTGCAAGCAAAGGAAAGATGTGCAACCACCAAAAATTTAACATACACTACATTTTCCTGTTTCATATATATATATAAAAGAGTCAAAAATTAAACCAAAAGAAGGGGGTCTGGACTGAAGCACAGTGAAAATCTAATGGAGTTGAGAATCTAATGGACAAAGATGGAGTTACTAAGGGAAGTATGGGGTGATGGAGTTAAAAAGGGACCAAATAGTTAGGCAGAATTTAGCTGAGGATTTCCTGAGGATCAAAGCTAATACTACACTTTGAGCATCTAGAAAAAATAGTGGAATAAGCAAGCTGTCACTGATATGCAAATTGAGACTTCCCAGAAAATAAATATAGTAAGAAATCTCATGACAGATGCAATAATAAGTGCATACACACAGTATATGTACCATTACCTTGTACCTTAATCAATAAACACATACATCACATTTTCCTTAACTGTTGTAAGCTTTCTCTTCTAAGCTGTTGTTGCTTTATTCTTCAAAAAGTGCATCTTTGAAATGAATATAAATTTCATGTTTAATGAAGGAATGAGCAGTCTAGTTGGACATTTGGGTTAGGGCCCATTACCAGAGAAGTGCAGAAGGTGCTGAAGGGTGTGAAGCCCTCACAGAGGACTGGTACATAAGACAATAGAGAGGAATACCTGGCTCTTATCTACTCTCACTACAATGTAAGCTGACAAGGCAGAATATCAAAAGACCTTTGTGCTTGTTTTGTGTGGAATAGAGCCAATTTACTTCACAGTAGCTAATATGGGGCTGTGTTTTGCATTTGTGCTGAAAACAGTGTTGTTAACATGGATGTTTTATTTATTACTGAGCAGACAAGGCTCTTCTGCCTCTTGCCCCACCCCACCAGTGAGTAGGCTGGGGATGCACAAGGAGCACTTGGTGGGAGCACTGCTGGGACAGCTGACCCCAACTGACCCAAGGCATATCCAAGAACAAATGACAGCATGTTCAGCATAGAAAGCTGCAGAAATAAGAAGGAAGGATATTCAGGGATATTGAGGGACACTTGCTTTCCCAAGTCACCACTATGTGTGATGGAGCCCAGCTTTCCTGGAGATGGTTGAACACCTGCCTGGTAATGGGAAATAATAAATTAATTCCTTATTTTGCTTAGCTGACAAGTGTGGCTTTTGCTTTATCTGTTAAAATGTCTTTATATCAGCTAATGAGTCTTCTCACTTCTGCCCTTCCAGTTCTCTTCCCCATCATAGAAAGAGACACAGAATGGCTCTGTCAGTCTTAGTTGCTGTCTGGAATTGAACCACAACAACCTTCTGTACAAAAGCCAGCCCATGGTTATGAAAATGTCATCACCAGGTTCTGAGTGGGCTTTATCTTTTGAATGCCTTGGAGAAAGGATGAATCACACTCTACATTGCTGTTACTCATCAAGTAAATGCAGTAGACTAGTCCCCCACTGTTGCTCATATTCATTTCCCATCACATTCCCCCTTCAGTGAATAATAAAGATGACTCTTTCCTCAGACAAGGGTTATATCATCTTGCAAAGGTATATGTTTGAGAAAAAACAGCTTCTTTGCCCACTTCTCTAATGATGCAGAATAACTTCATCCAACAGCAGATACAAAATGGTTCTAGATCTGATTGTTTGGTTCTTCCCTATGATTATTTATCAAATGCAAGACATAGAGGCACAGTAATGGTAAATAAATATTATATGTAATATTTCCTTTCTCCTAGTTTAAAGTCTGAGACAGGTAGAGAGTCAGCCTACAGATGACCAAGAAGACAGAGTTTCCAAGTACTTTAAGTTTGCATATTAACTATTAAACAAGTCCTTTCCCACAACACTTAAATAAAAAAATAATTTAAAAAATTCTACATCAAAGCTTGCTTTGGATCATTTTATTTTGAAGCTGTAACACAAGTCATCACTTTCAATGTCAACTGAGGTGGGACAAAATGTGTGTTTCATTTCATTCAGCACAGAGATTTTTATAGAAAGGGATATATGCCTTGGTTAATGTGGAAGGTGCTACTAGAAACAGTGAGCTGTTTAAAAAGAGCAAATCAGTGAGAAATGCTTTTTTCCTTGGCCTACAAAGTAGAATTATGTCATTCATAAAAAGCATGAAAAGGGACTCTATATTACTATATTCATTCATTGGATAATTATGACTTTGACTCAGGGATTCCTCTACGTTTTGTTATCTGACTAACAAAAATGGCCAGGCTGACATCATACTTTTGCTGTTATTCAGCAAACCATCCTATTACCTGTGCATTTTTAGGACAATGTAAGTGTCAACCTTGACTACTTCATTCTGTTACACAGACTCTCTCTCATGAAGGTTTTAAAAAAAGGACATTTTCAGATACCATAGATCTCAGTATTGCATTCATATTCAACATTAATACATAACAACAAAATAATGTCAAACAGTAAAATGGTGAATAGGAATGTAACAGCAAAGACAAAAGTGAAGGAGATGGAAAAAGGCTAGATATTTTAAACAACTTTTTTGTTACTATAGCCTAAGGCTTCCTCCTGGTTCTTTTCAAGCTGCAATAAAAATTATATTAAATATTTAAAATGTGAACAGGCAAGTTTACTTACTGTTTCCTGGGTGCCAGCGTACTGCATTTAAATATGCATTACAGTAATGGAAGAGAAATTCATGCTTAGATTGAGTAACTTCTCCTTGAACTAAAGGTAGCAGATCATGTCCATCAATAATCCTGAGTAAGAAAGCATTTAAAAATCAATAAAATAACTCAAACCTCACTTTTCTATAAGATATGATAATTCTGATCATCTGCTGCTTAAAAAAACCCAAGTCTGAATGGCCACCTCCAATTGGTCAATTGGAGAAAAACCTTCAGGTGCTCTTCTCCTTGATGTTTACACTACCTAAGGAAACATTTTTACATTTTGCCATTATGAATAGTTCTCTCAACTCTTTTTTTTTCACTTCTGAGAAAGTGAACAGACATAAGTGAATAAACTGCTACAACACAGTCCTTCACATTCAAGTGTTTGGGAGTAGTCTGACTGAAGTAACCCTAAAACTAGAGAAAATATGTTGTTCTGTGCTAGCATCCCCAGAAGTAGTGGTAATACCTCTGTTCAGTATATTCTGTATGCCAGAATTTAAGACAGAAGTGATAATTTCAAATTTGAAAATTTACTGTTTAAATATGCATTTATCAACTACACACACACACACACACACACACACGCACATATAAATTCTCTAAATGCTGCTGGACAATTTGATCATGCTTTGAAGGAGTCAGTCAATTTACATAAAAACTGACTTATAAAATAAGCAAGACTTTTAGCTGCTTCCCTATATTAAACCTTTGAATTGCTGACATCAGCTGGGGAGAAATCATAGTCTGCATTTTTGACCTTGTATGAATTACAATATTTTCAGTAAGTCTTATCGGAAATTACTTTTTGCTGATATAAAAATCAGCATGTAATTCTTTCTCAAGCATTTTGAGCTACAAACCATAAAATTGTTTTGAAACTTATAAAAAGTTTTAAAAGGTCTATGTTGATTTTCATTACCTTTACATACATGATCATTTCATTACCATTACATAAAATATATGGTAACTACTGTGGTGTAACTACTACAAGACAGGTACTAAGTTTACTTTTTTAAGTTGCATGTGATTGAATTCTTGCCAGCAATTGTATGCAACAAAGCCATTCAGAATAGGACTTTTCTCAAATGATGGGCAGGAAAACTTCCTGGAATTTTGAAAGCTATCTTGTCTGATAATTGCCATCTGGGTGAATTCCTGTGTGCGGGGGTCTGTTAAAATAGAATCTTTCCCACTTTTGGTTTTTCATGTTCTCTTGCCTGAGTAACAGGCTCGTCTTGCAAGCTGGCTCATTAACAGATGCATGCCTATTGAACACCTTCTGTTCTAGAGCCTGTTGATGGGGAAAAAGGCATCTCCAGAAAAATGTCTCCAGTACTCTAGCATTGCTTCAGCTGCTGGATTCAGAGGAATACATGAGACTTCGCTTTCCAATTACTAATTTATTTTCTTTAACTAGGAGCATCTCTTCCATTCCTTTTCAACTTGCTTTCTCACAGTGACAGAGTATTAATTATATTAACTTCTCTTATTTCTCAGGAAGAATTCAGTGGAGCTAAAAGAACCCAGCTGCTGGAACAAAAGTACTTCAAGCTATTCTATGGCCTAAGATGAAACAGTACTTATGGCATCAGTCTAGCACAGAAGAATCACAGCGGAGCAACCTACAAGTGGAAGTTGCACAACTATATTTGAATTTCTACAAAGGGGATCAAAGAAAACATCAGTACTTAGTATTCACTCAAGCAATATGAAAACAAAATGCAATAGATCTGCCACATAAAGAACACTCAGAACTTCTGAGGTTCGACAGAATTACTACTTGTAGAGCATCTCTCAGGACCAACCTGACTAATTTTTAATGTCTTAGACTTGTCCTGCCCTGCCATTTCCTTCAAACACTCAATGAATAATCATTAGCAGAGTGACTCTGCTCACCAGTGGGCTTCCCCATGTGGATTCTTGATGCTTTGTGCTCAAAAGCTGTTTGTGAGTCATCGATGTGTTCAAAGCACATGCATATCAACAGGTTTCTCCACTCACTGGATTTGGAGAGCAACAGCATTTAGGTAGAGGCACCTTGCCACTGAAACTGTGTATCTCACAAACAAGATAAAGCCTGGGGATGTAGCAGTGTCAGGACGGCATCTTATGAATTGTGAAGTCCAGTGGCTTTTCTTATCAGGCTGCAAAACCCTGTATGGGATTATTTTGACTACTAGGTACAGAGAAAAAACCAAACAAACAAAACAAAGAACTCCAAAAAAACTGTGAGAAAAACGTAGATGGCATTTTGATGTGTTTTGTGATATTAAGCAGGTCACAGCCAAGCTCATGAAGTTTAAAGTAATCTACACTTAAAGTTTCTTTTTCCACCAAATTCACTCATGCAGAACAGGACCTTTTTTGTTACATTCATTTTTGCTTTTAGTAAGTAATTCCAAGTTTGATTTGACAGTACATTGATCTGATGGTATTCTGTTGTCTTTTTGGTGTTTGCTTTGTGAGCTAAGTGTATTTACATACAACATTTCTGTAAAATATTATCAGTCTGTCAATATGGAGAGACAACATGATATTGCAAGTAGAAAACCTAGTTTCTTATTTACATTCTCACCTTTATCTTAATAGATATCACCAGAATGAATAAAACACTCATGGCACTTGCTCTAAAACAGAGATGACTACAGAACATACCTGTCAGAGGGTAGCTGTGCATTTGCAAGTTTAACTATGGTAGGAAATATATCCATGTTACTGGTTGGCTCATCAATATGGGCGCCAGCCTGTATCACGCCAGGCCAACGGAGAAGACCTGGCACACGAATGCCTCCTTCCCAGTTTGTTGATTTTCCACCTGAAAAATTTAGTTTTGTTTGCTGAGAAATCAGTTTCTCCTTTGATAATTCCACCCCATTAGATTCAATTTCCAAATATTAAACATTCTGTCTAGCTAGAATCTTTCCATTAGACAAATCTGTCCTATTCTTAATTTTCTCAATTTTTTACCTTCTGTAGTACTTTCTTTCTGTAAATTTACTAATATGTATTAGACAGAGCTTATAAAGTGCATTTAAATTGCACCAAAAAAGTAGTTGCGGAGATTAAAGAGCATTTCACTGGAATCTTCATATAGGCCTAGATTGTGCAGCCTATAGATATGTGAACCTATAACCCAAAAACAGGAATCCAAAAATAAAAAAAGAGCTATACTTAGATGTCTGAGGTATGAATCCAGAGAAGGCACATGACTTTTTATTAAAAATAGTGCTTAATGACTTTATATAGAAGAAAGTACTAATTTAAGTATGTTACTGAATTCTCCAATTCAATGCATTATAAAGAAATTCACTTCAGTGATGGCAAATTTCAGGATGCTGTAAAGAACTTTTTGTGCTCTAAACCAACACAGTTTCATCAAATGCACTATCAACTGATTCCATTCAACAGTGACTTGCAGTCATTTACTGTTTCTACAAGATCCATCACTGCTGAGTCCTCCCAACACCTTTTGCAGAAGGGCAACTGGTTTATTCTCTGACAGCATGTTCACCATTACTGAATAAATAATTGACCTGACCTGGCTCTGTATGAAGAGGAATCACAAGTGCTATAACCAATGTCCTGCAAAGTTGTGACTATGCAGAACACTTCAGGGTGACCTTTGAAAGTAATATATCATTTGAAAAAGAAATCTCTGTTAAGCAGATGGGTTTTGTATATGGTTAAACACAGTCAGGGCCATTTGGAAATAAATTGAGATTTTATACAATTAAAATGTCTGGAAAAACAGAAAGGTATTGGTTGGACTTCTGCCATTAAATGAACCAAATAGCAATTCTTGGTTCAGACCAAACTACTACAGGACTATTTTTTTCCTGTATCTCCCTTTTTCAAGTTAAAAAAAAAGAACCCAAACAAAACAAAACAAACAAACCAAAGAATTATTACAACAAAGTATTTCAAAAGTTCTGCTTCCTCAGCATCTTAAACACCCAAAACACCTCATAGATGTCAATACCTTTGGTATTGACCCCAGGCCTTGTTATACATGCTGTCTATTTTATTGACTTCTTGATGATCCTTTCCATTTCAGCAAAGTGGGTTCAGAATCTACCTGGTTTTCTACAGGATTTTCACTGTTTGTAAAGGTAAGTAATAACTTCAAGAAAGACTACTCTTTTTTTTATAAATTTACCTTTTTCTTTTCTTGTAACTGAAGGACCATTAGTTCATGATTCCTTGTTATATCAGATTTTTTGGGTTTTTTTCCACAGGCTTTATCACAACTCATAATATTAAATAGTCAGGGACACATCTGGTCTGACATTAGAAAAGTTATGACTTTTTAATATTCAGCCTTATGTCAAGCAACAATATTTGCTTAAGTTTTTTTTTTTTTAATGGTGTCAAGATCAGATCTCTACTGGATTGTCTGTCTTCTAGAACACTCCTAAAAGTTTACTGCCCTTGCTGAGTTAAATGTAATGCCATTATCATGATGAAGTGTGTGGCTACCTACTCAAGAATGAGATGCATGTCCAATTTTTGTGCAGATTCTAGTAAAATATTATTTTTGAAACTCTAAAGGAAATGTAGATTTAAGTTCAAAAAGTGTTATTTGGTGAGACACAGAACATCTGTCACCCAAAGGAAGTGTTCACCCAAAAGTATACTGATTGGTTGTTCATGTTGTTGGGTCAAGACCAGTGTAGATGTCAATGTTTTGTGTCTATCTCCTGTAGAAAAGATGACTCTACCCCTGTACAACAGCCATTATGCTTTTCAAAGTTTGGTGGGAATAGGTGTTACACAGCAGGAAAGATTAATAACCTGACTGAGCTATGGTGCATAGAAAATCCTGCTGAGTGGGAGTTGGTTAATCCAAGTAAAACAAGCATAAGGCCTTAAAATTACAGATGTCCTCAAATGAACATACTTTTAGTGAACAGATACACCAGGGAGGCAATTTAGCTCATGAGCCAGATCCTAATTCTGTGTATACACGACAGCAGCTTTATGGCTGACGGGTACCAACAGACAGACAACACTAAGAGTTGATCTATACCTTTGGTAGCTTTAGCTATGATGTTTCTCTTATTTCTGTATGCCTGTCTAGTATTTCTGTACACTCTGTCTAGTAAGAGACTAGATGGATGTTTAAATAAAGACTTGTTATACTGGACTGGATGTTTAAATAAAGTCTTGTTACACTGCTGTCTCCTGTATACTTTGAAGACAGAGAAATTTCAAAGTGGTAAATCTGATTCTCACACATGTTGCAATTCTTAAAACTTATTGGGTCACTTTCACAGCTCTTAGGTTCACAGTACAATTTTCTGGAATCAGCAGAAAACAACAGAAAAATTGCACATTACCCAAGTACAAAAGAACACTACACAAACTCTGATGCCCTGCTGTAAGGTAGAAAAAGCAAAATGGATTCCACAGCAGGGCTTTCTCCTTACTTACATCTATAAAGAAGTGACTGCCGTTTTCCTTTCAAAAGGCTAATTGGAGCATAATTTTTTTTTACATTTCTGGAGACTGGGAATAACAGGGAATCAGGGCAGGAATTACAGGTCATTGTAGAAGACTGTCTTCTATTATCTCTGCTTACATGGTGTTCATTTTTATTAGAATTGTGCTTAGTGACTGCAGGTGCTTAATGCCATTACACGATTACAAATCCCTGGGCATTTATCATCTTTAAAACTCTAGCTGTTAAACTCTGTTCAAGATATCTGCATTCTTTTTCCCTTAAAAAAAAAAATCAAGGTTTTACTACAGATGCTTGAAACACAGAAATATCTAAATGGATAATATAATAAAATTTTAAAAAAATCCAGAAAATGTAATTATTTTGAAACAAAATCTCTTGATATTTAAGGACATGGCTTATTAGTTTTGTGTTGTGCTCAGACTTGACAACATTGAAACAGAGAAAAGACCGAAACCTAGTAGACTGTACGCCTTGCAAAATCTAGACAACTTACCTTTTTGTTATTTTTGTTCTCTTGAAGTCTTTAAAAAATGTTTTTAAAGCAGCAGAAAACACACACGACTGTATTTTCCTGCTTCACCATTTCTGCTTTCTGAGTAGTTGTCCCTTTCAGCGTTACATTGAACAATAGCCTACATTCACCTTTCCTGAAAAATCTGCAGGAGCAGGCAAAATACAGACATAACTCTCTGCAGTCATCCACAACATGATGTCAAATTTCCATTTTAACCTCATTTCAAATCTTAGCTAAAAGAATATATCTTTTTTTTCCCCCCTCTGGTTTAAATTGACTGCTATTACCTAACTCTGGCAATAGAGCTTTTACAAAGGATGATGTATAAAGGGGAACGTTGCAGTAAATCACCACTAACATTATGAATGATGAATGATGAAAACTATTTGAAAAAACTTTCTTAAATCACCTGGATTATAACCATACTACACTTTCCTTCATATATTCTTCTAAAAACAAAACTTCCAAACCCAATCTATTCTCTTGAATTATAAACACAACATTAATTATTCCACCCATCTCTACTGGACTTAATGTCACAAATATCAACAATCAAGACTGGTTACTATTGCTTACTTTATAAAATAGTTGAACAAAAATTTATTTTCAATGACAAGTTTACTCTTACTGATTTTAAACTTGTTTCTTGTACTGTTTTTGTCAATTTTATTTATATTAATCTGAGCTATTCTTGTACAGGTGAATGGAATACACCTGGCTCATTTGGATGCCTTTCATCTAACATTTCCTTCAATCAAGAAAATGATCTATGAGGATATTTTTCTTTCAGTCAAAATTAAAAGATGGGTTGATTATTTAAAAATCTGGATCACTTCAGAGAGACTATAAAAATACAGTACATTTGAAAAATGTCAACTATTGCTTTCTTTCAAGTGAAAAGTAAACTCGAACAAATATCACCAGATATGCCATAGCATGATTCCTGGGGTCAAAGTAATGGCCAGCTTGATTTCTCTGTGGCTTAGAGGAATGAAAAGATTTACTAACAGCTTCAAGAAACCCTGCTGAACTAACTTATCACTGCAGTATATAATTTTTTTTACAGTAATAGATTTAAAAAAAAAATAGGTATTAATTTCTTGTTTTGATCTCACAGATCTGTAGCAGATTTTAAAAAACAACTCAGGGCCTAAGTCCTTATGAGACATTATTTTTTATGGATATTAAAAAATAACTATGATAATACCTATTTCTAAGGCACAAAACACTTGAAATGAATGTTGTTCACACAGTTTGACTTTATCAGTGTTTGGCTCCACTTCCATTATCAACAGACCCACTCTGCACTGACTTCTGACCCACTCTGGCAGCATGACAGTAGCCAAGTGGCTGTATTGTCCTAAGTGCTTCATAAGTACAAAGAAAAACTGTTTCTGATGCAGATCTGAGGTACAGGCAAAATGTACATATCCAAAAGACAGTAAGATGTAAGGAGATTGAACAGAAAATCCAGTATGTGACAAAGTGGGACAGATGTCAACAAGTGATAGCGAGGGAGGACTTGTACTGTCTGCATATGTGCCAGTGAAATACTATGGTGAGAAAAAGTGTAGAGAAATTTTTTAATTGCCTTCATTCATTGTTTATTGATACAAATTATGTATTTATATATATGATAGCACACTATGGCTAATTCAAGAAATTACTAAGAAACTAATTAGAAATTACAACAAAATATTTCGATTCAAAATCTCAGAGTACCAAAGAAGAATATGATGGCTTCCTTTAAATCAGTCACCTTGCACATCTTGTTAATATAGACAAAATTCTCTTCATTTATTTATTCCGCTCATCTTATTTGAAAGTACAAATCCAAAGCATTTGGAAAAACTAACCTTATTTCTGCTCCTAAAGAAAAGCTATAGTGACTATATCAAATGGACATGCTCCAGTGAAGCAGCTAGTGAAAAACACCTAAGGAGAAGTCACTGCAGGTATCCTGGAAATCATATATACAAGCAATACCTTAATGGTCTAGTGTCTGACTTTCAACAGACAAATATTACAGAAGTGGAAAAAAAAGAGCTGGAAAAACTACATAGAAAATTTTAATAAGATACTTCAGTTACACCTATTACTTTCCATATTTCAATATAAAATTGTTATTAATAATGTATTAATTAAATTGTTATTATTTTTAATTTAATTAAAATATTAATAGTGTCTTGTAAAAATCAGAGGAGTACTTCATGAGTTCAGGTATGAAGTCCTTCAGTTGCGAAGAAATTCTTACTAAAATGCCACTATTTTTTGCTTTAGAATCTGTATCTAGATTTAAACCTTAGAAAGATCTCTGACAAAGACCTTCAGGAAAAGTTACTGGAACATTAATCATGGCTTAGGAGACAAAGAATTTTCATGAATCAAATTCTGACTAGAAAACAAAAAGGTGAAACAAAAAGAGAGAACAAACAGTCTGTGTGACCCTTTGCAAAAATACCCAAAAAACAAATGTAAGGTACCTTGAAGCTACACTGTGTTAAGCCCCTTACTGTTTTAGTATATTTACTTCAGTTTTGAAAGTGAAGTAATTCACACAGGAAAAAAATAAGAAATTAGGGATGAGTGAAAACTCAACAATTAAAAATCATAAGAGAGAGATGGAAAAGACAATTATTTTCTGAATTTCGCTATTGCCAAGAGCCAAAGTAAAAGTATACAAAACAAATCTAAGGGAAAAATTAAAATTTCCCCTCCTTTATGCTCTATTAGTGAGAACATGCTATTAAACTTCAAGATGTTCCATGAAATTTGCAACTGTCCCATTTCATAATAGTAAATGAAAGCACTGTGCTCTCATGGATAAGTGATAGAGGCTATGCTCAGATTTTAGAAAGACTCAAAGTCGGAATTCATCTTTATATGATAAAAATTTATATAATTAATGTTAAGAATCTTTGTAGAACCTAAATTGTCAGGATTCACATCTTAAAACAATGTCATACTGTCTGGGATTAGGATCTTCTTAGGGATTCTATTTACTACACAGATCCTCATAACCAACCATCAGGAGAAGGCCACTGGAAAGAGATTTTGATCCATCACTTCAGTATTACTATATAATGTCTTCTAAAAAGGAATAGTGCAGAAATAAACCAGACTGTCTATGACAGCAATTGGTTAGCTCTGGTTTCTAACTATCCAAATTTATGGTGGACTGTTCTGTAGTTAGGATCCAGAGTAATAAAACCTTCAAACAGCAATTTCCCCTTTTTGCATTGCGTTTTGCAGCACTAGCTTAACTATCTAAACCCTTCTTAAATTTTATTATTGGTGCTTATTTGGCTAGGTATCAAGAGAAATTAGTGAGTTAGAATTGCGGAGTTCACTGAAGAGCTTTTGATTTTAGGGCAGAACCAATTATTGCTGAGCATATTGCTCCAGCTCTGACAAGAGGGTTAAGTGCCTTGATTCATGTTTGCATTCATGCAGCACTCAGAGACAAAAGGATAAGTAGTGGAGATTGACTAGCTGAGACAGGGAGGGAGAAAGGATATGTGAGTCTCACAGGTTTCTAAACTACACACCAAAGAAAGGAAATTCCTGGTGTGTGGACACATAAGCACAAGCAGCAACAAGATTGTCCTTCTGCTTTTTTAGGCACATTGCTAGTCTTGGGGCTTCACAGGTCTGTTTCTCATTAACTCTGACAAATATGTACAGATGCTTTTCACCACACATGACTTTTAATATGAACAAATTCCTATGTATGAAAATTGCTAGTATGCAATTAATTGATAATTTTTACCTCAGTCCTTTTGAAAATGATGCATATTATACATGTTAAATTAAGGACTGATTTTGAGATGGAGGAAGTGGAATGTAAAGCAGAATTAATTGTATTTTTAAATGTTAGAAGTATATTCAACTAATTGCATGGGTCTTTTAATTTCTTTTTATTTTATTAAGAATGTTTCTCATCAAATAATATTTTTTTCTTACATTGTGATTATTTTCTAACCCATTTGTCAGCACAGCAGAGATGTTAATTGCAAACTACAAAACTTTTTTCTTTTTTTTTATAAGCCCCATTACTACTCAACTAAACCCATCAATCAGACTTTTTTCTTAATACAGGTAAGATACATTTCAAGTTTTTCTCTGCACTGTAAATATGAACACAAAATTGTGCAAGGCTTGAGAGAAAGACTCCATTTAATCAAAGTTCTTCAAGAAGACATATTCCCAAGTGTATTTTTTCCTTCCTTATAATTTATCCTGTACCTTATGTCTGGCACTCTAGAAGGCAAATATTTTTTAGAGCTTCTAAAACACCTCAGGCTGAGCCTACGGCTACAGATATGTAACCATATGGTTCCTTAATTACTTAAATCACTATGCAAGGTCTATGTGCTAACATTCAAGATACATTTCACTCTGGTGTTAGCCCACGGGGACCCATCTGATAGACATCATCCCTTTGGCATTCCTTGTTTTTCTTGTGTACCATTTTCTTCGAAGCTTTTTCTTATGTACCATTTTCTTTGAAATGTAAGGGTCATTTCTCAGATAGATACCTACTTACTAAAAACTGTGGGGTCCTCCTGCTTGAAAACCTTCCTTTATATGCCTGAATTTTTTCCTTTTTGAAGTTTTGCAGTTGATATAAATCTGGCAAGAGTGGAAGATTGTGTTACCTTTCAAAGGGACTTTGATAGGCTTGGAGAAATGGGCCAAAAGGAACCCCATTAAGTTCAGCAAAGGAAATAGCAAGTCCTGAATCTTCACAGCAGTAACCTCTAGCAAAGCAAAGGCTGGGGAGTAACTGGCTGGAAAGCAGCTCTGCAGAGAGGGACTGGAGGGTTCTAAGGAGCAACCAGCTGAACATGAGACAGCATATGCCCTTCTAGCAATGAAGGATAACATCACTCTGTGCTGCACTAGGAAGAACTCTTCCAGCCAGTCCTGCTCTCTGCTCAGCACTGGTGAGACGTACCTGGAGCACTGGGTCCGGGTGCAGAACTCCCCAGTACAAGGTACATGGGCATACTGGAACGAGTTTCAATGAAGGTGATGAATGATTAAGCAATTGGAGTATTCAATATATGAGGAGAGGCTGAGAGAGATGTTCATCCTGGAGAAGAAAATGCTTACCAGGATCTTATCCATTGGTAGGGATTACATGGATTTATATGAGTAAAGAGGACAGAGGTAGACTCTTTTCAGTGGGGAGCCAATGACAGGACAAGAGGCAATGGACACAAACTAAACCACAGAAAACTCCATTTAAACATAAGAGAAAGGTTTTTTTATGGTGAGTGTGATCAAATACTAGAGAAAGTTACCCAAGGAGGCTATGACGTTCCATCATTTTCATAACTTGACTGGATACAATCCTGAGCAATGTGCTACAGCTGACCCTGCTCTGGGACTGCAGACCAAGGTCTGGAGATACCTCCCAGGCTCAACTACTATGAGATTGCTGGATTGCTTGATGCCTGAAATATGAGTGGGAAACAAATTACACAGCCTCTACCTAGTGAAAGAATGAAAAGAAATTAATATCTCATAAAGAAACAAGAAGACTGATTGTAATTTCATTAAGAAGAATAAAAAAACCCCATTCTTCCTTTATTTCAAATAGATCAAAGATTTTGACCTTGGCCACATAGTACATTACAGTTTTGGTGCAAACTCAAGGAGATGCTTTTTCTTGCATTTTTCAAGAACAATCAGAGAATATCAAATTCACCTTTATATATGCCATTGTATCCTCCATGGACTTCTCCAGCACTGGAGATTTCTTCAACATGAGCCCCTTGGTCAGATGTAAAGTATACAAGAGTTTTGTCATTTAGATTATGCTTCTCCAGCACATCCAGAACTTGCCCTAGGTGAAAAAAAAAAGCTTTGAGAACCACAGAATGAACTAGGTTGGAAGAGACCTTTGAAATCAAGTCCAACCTATGACCTAACTTAACACTTTCTAATAAACTAAACCATGGCACTGAGTACCATGTCCAGTCTGTTTATAAAACACGTCCAAGGATGGTGATTCCACCATCTCCCTGGCCAGACAATTCCAGTGTCCAATCATTCTTTCGGTGAAAAAATTTTTTCTGACATCTAACCTAAACCTGCCCTGATGCAGCTTAAGACTTGTGTCCTCTTGTTCTGTCAGCTGTTTCCTGGAAAAAGAGACCCACTGCCACCTGACTAAAACCACCCTTCAGGGAGCTGTAGAGAGTGATGAGGTCACTCCTGTTTCTCTTGTTTTCCAGGCTAAACATCCCCAGCTCCCTCAGCCGCTCTTCACAGGGCTTGTGTTCCAAGCCCTTCATCAGCCCTGTTGCCTTCCTCTGGATGTTAGAGACTAAATGACTTTTTATTAGCCTTGGCACATATAAATATTTGTGTCCCTTTGCCTTTTTGAGACCACTTTTCACATAAACTCTCTTATACTCAGCAATAGGCACATGCAGCATACTAGGGCACAACCACACAGGGCTTGTAGCAATCAGGACCATGACTCAGTTGCTGCAGGGTTTCTTGAAGTACGGGATGAGAAGATTTGTGCACATCAGAGAAAAGGGCTAATCCACAGAGAGCAAGTGACTTTTGGAAGCAGTTGCTCTCAATCAAGGAAATCCCTCAGCAAGAAGATTCAAGCCACTGAGGATATTTAGTAACACTGAGGAAAGAGTCTCAGCATGCAGAGTAGATCTCTCGCAGTTTGGGGGTAAAGCCTTGCTGCCTAGCAACCCATACAGGCAGCATGGCAAAAATCTCAGTGCTAGTGTTAGAGTAAGAAAAAAAAAGTAAGAGAATTCAAGTAGCACCTTTAAAGTATGTGTGGTTTCATTATCAAACCTAATAATTAGCCCTTAATATCCCAACATATCGAAAAACATCAACTAAACTCAAAATATGCAAGGTAATAAACACACCCAGGTGCACCCATCTAAAAGAAGTACCCACAGGGATATGTCTTGTAGCTCTTAGGCATCACGGGCTCATGTTTCATTTTCACAAAGGGCTCCTCACACTACTTTGGCACCGTGGAGGGCCTTGCAGTTATATAAATTGCACTGAAACCTATTTAGACTGAATTCTTTAAAGTGTGTTTCTGTATGAATGAGAGTGAAGCTTCTCTTTGTAACTTGCTCCAGTGGATTTTATACTGATTAGGAATCTAAGATTATTGGTCCTCGAAAACCACCAAAGCTTAAGAATATAATTCTTCACATCAGCCTGACAATGAACCTGTCCTTTAGGGATCTCAGAACATATAAAGATAATTCTGTCTTCACAACTATTTTATCTTTATTCTTTTACTTAAGCATCCAAGAATGGTCCAATTTGAATGTTAATTTTGATTTGTTAACCTGACCACTAAGAATTAATTCATCATCTGATGCCCAATTATTGTGTCAAAGAGGATGAGATAAGAACTTTGAAATACAGAGCCTTCTAAATGGTTTTCAGATCACTGTTTCTGCTGCTATGCTCTTTTTCTGGATAAGGAGTAATTACCTTAATTTATTGCTACTATTTCTCCTTGCCTCTTAATGCTATATAATTTTAAAACTGTCTTTTTAAAATGGTTGACTGTCATAATTTTTCAAATTGACTGGGTCAAGAATAAAGGAACATCAGCTGCTAAATTTAAGTAGGTACCTGTTGGTCTTGTTTGTAAAGTAGGAGCAAAGAAGAAATGCAAGAGTAGGAGAATTTGTTTATGTAAATTTTGAAGCCTCGTGGGAGTTGAAATTTCCCAACAGAGCTGAGAAAATCTGTTACAAAGGCTGACATTTTAAAGCTGGTGGGTTGAGGGAAAATCACGCAGATCCTTCTGACAAGCCATGCGCTTGCTGCATGAGGTGGATGGACTTAGTGCCAGAAAAGAACGAGGCAATTTCCCATTGGCTTCTGAAACTGTTTGGAGAATGTACTTGTTAAGTGATTACAATATCTCTTGGAAATGCGCCAATAATGATAAAAACGTAGAGTACAACGATAAATTATAAATTATATGTAGGTATTTAGCCACATGACCTTCAGAGTTCCCTTCCAACCTACATCAAGCTATGATTTTATGATACAAATACAATAAATAGTATTGTGCAAAGAAATATATGTGCAGTGATGTGCACAACAATATTTTTTTTTACATATCTCATGTTCATGATGAAATTGAACTTTCAAATTAATATTGTACATAAACTAAAATGAAAATAAAGAGAGAATGGCACCCAGTATACAACATGATCTCTGGTGATCAAAAGCATTGGCAATCATTCAATAATGATCACTTTGATTTCCCAGCTAATTTGGGAAGACATGAGAAGCAATGAAAATTGTCTCACTATCACAAATAATTAAACTTAAAATCAAAAATTAATATTAAAATTAAATGTAAGATATTATAATGAATTTTTTTAATGAGGTAGTCTTTCTCTGGAAAAAAATATTAAATACACACACTCAAGCATGTTCCATTTTAGAAAAAACCCAGTCATATAAAATGCATAGAAATTCCCATCCATTGTTAAACTCAATGGTAAAACTTCCATTTCCTTCAAATGGATTTTGAAACACAGAGGATTGCATACATAAGTTTTAACTAACAAATGCTAAAATGACAATTTATCTTAGCAGCAACATTTTTCAGTACAGATGGACTAATAGTGGTAATTCAGAAAACAGTATTGCCAGAGTATGGCAGTCACAACACACTCATAAGCAAACCTTCCATTTCTATTTTGATCCTGAACACTAGCACCTACTAGAATGAAAATTGTAAATAAACAGCAAAGTGTGGGTTACCAGGATATAAGAAAAATTTAAGTGTATTTGAATGATTTAACTCTCGTTAACACAAGAAAGAGTTTAAATTAAAATACCTTGCTCGAAAGTCACATTCTGAAAAATTAACTGCTGTACTGATCTGTGTGGATGGTACCAGTTTTTTTTTTTTCTGATTTTAACAGAACATATTTAGAAGGACAACATTTCTGAATATCCAAATCAATCTAGCTGATGGAACTCCATAATTTCTGCAGCTATTTAGCAACTAGAATTTCAGATCAAGCTACTCCTACCACTGCCATTATAGGAATGTATTCTGCAATGTAGGTGACTAACATTGTAGCAGACAAAGGTGTTATATCATTGGACATTTTGCTTCCATTTATATATTTTTAAGATACAAAACAGATTGAGGGCTGTGTTAAGATGTTACTTGTTTTAATTAGTACATCAGTGTTCCAAAATTTAAATGAAACTTCTTGTGAAATATACTGAGGAGTGCTCTCTGTATTCTACTCTCCATTCTTAGTTCAAGCTGTGTAAAATTATAAAGAATTGTTCCATTCTGAATGTGAAAATACCAATTTCAGTGGAGTGATAGCCATGGGAAAGAGAGAAGAGCAATTGACTCTGTTCTTTGGAAGGAAACAAAGCGCCATGCCGCTTTTCAAGTTCTCCAGAACAGCCTGAATGGTAGCTGAACCAGCCTTCCTAATGATGACCGTAATTACTGAGTTTTGACTCATGTAAAGCTCCTACTGTATGCATCTACAAGAAGAGATAGGGTTTCTAAAAAATGACTATTCATTTGTAAACAAGGTACAAACACTGAAAAACAATAACGTGTTTACAAATGTGTTACTGATTTGTTAAAGTGTTTAGTCAAGCAAGCATATGGACAAATGCATTTTATTCAAAAATTAGTTTACTGACATTTCAAGTCAATGGGAAATAAATATTATTTGTATTAATTCAAAATAATTTAGACTATTGCTGAAATTGTGAATAAGAAGCTAGAGGAAATAGAATACCTCTGTGTAATCTAGAAAAAAATAGCTTCTACTTGTGATGAAAGCTTTAAAGCAGTCTGCCAAATTCAAAGAAAAAACATGTTTCAGAAGGAGGGCTAAGGATCTGTCTCAGGAAGAGATAACTGACAGTAAAGGAAATTCCTAATAATGTAACACTATTTTCCAACTCCAGTAAACTTTCACATGCCTCTCTTGTATCCAGAAATTTACAGCAAGACTGAGACAATTATTGAACAAAGATTTCCAATAGATCAGCCTGGGAAAATAAGCCATCACATCACTGCCAAGAAGAGGCAGTTTGATTGTGTTGGGGTTTTATTGTTTTTATTTGCTGTTTAGAATTTTCTACTGCTGCTCATGTTTGGTTTTGAATAGCATCATTAGCCAGAATCACAACTTGTAGTCAGCTCCAGGCATTCACCTCTGTGAATGCAAGCCATTGAATAAATGCATAAAATCCTAAAAATTATTGCTACATGCATAAGTATTTGGAAACCCACATTTGTCCCAGAAAATATATTGATGCCTTTCAAGTATATACCCATAGGTTTACCACATAGTAAACCTCTTGGGAGTCCCTTTCTGCTACAGCAGTTTAAGGTTTTGCCACAGTTAATCATCTCTTCAGGGCTCAAAGGCTAAGATTTTCACCTTATGAAAACTTAATGTTGCAGCTTCTGCATACCATCATTCACAAGCTAACAATCATTTTAATCTCTATGTTGATTTTCTGTGATGAAGAAAAGTTACTTCATTTTAATGCACTGATCTGATTACAAAATCCACGGACTAAAACCTTTGTATTAAAACAAACTTATAACTAAGATCAAGACACCCCTATTTAAATTTTAGCTTTTGAACATTTCAAGTTATAAATATGCAAATGTTCCCATAGTATGCTCAGAGCCATCCAGTTTCCTTTGATAAATATGTAAATCAGCTTGTCTCTGCAGTGGGGAAGTAATTATCACTTTCAGACCTAGTCATAGAGTACAACACTTGAGGTAAAGATGAAAAATAATAAAACCATTGACGGCAACACAAGAAGTGG